CTTTTTTTCAGTGCACTCCAGATGTGTTGTGTTAAAGATTTTTGTCATGTTAATCGTGATAACAGATGAACCCCCTAACCCTAACCCTACATGTTAATTTTGACAGCACTGGTAAATCCTTTTTAATGTTCTTCCGTCAGATCATTGATCAGACTCGACTCCAAATACGATACTCAGAAAACTCAAATGAAAACTAAAGTCAAACCAATGAGAAAAGGACTTGTGTGTAGAATGAAACCATATGGAAGTCGTCAGGTTTCAAACACTCGATGAATCTACTGCACAGTTACATTCAGGGACCTTTGGCCTCCTGAGAGCATTAGTTGATGGTTCATCACAGTTTTACCGTCCAGTGAGTGAATTTATCAGTTTGATGAAGTCTCAAAGTTTCCTCTGAGCTTCTGCAACATTATCACTTCCATCACTGATGAAAGAAAGTTCATAGAAAACAGAAAATATATCTTCAGAATCTGAGAGTCTAAATCTTGACAAACTTGATTCAGATGAAGTTATTTGAGCAGAAACTCCTGGATCTTTATCCTGTGTTGATCTAATCCTTCATGGTTCCTCCACAGAGTGGACCAGCAGAGCTCAGAGGTTCCCAGTGGTCAGTCTGCCCAGCAGCATCAAGCACAGCTGGACTCCATATTTATGGTCTGTACATGTACAACAACTACTGTTACATCTATTCTGTTCACAATCATCTCCATGCTGCTCTTTGTAGACCAGTGGATTATCTGTAGGGCTGGGAACAAAGTACAAATACTTCATTACATAACCTAATTACTATTTTCAGGTATCTGTAGTTTACTTGAGTAGTTTTTTTCTAACGATTTTTTACTTTTACTCCGTACATTTTTAAACAAATATCTGAACTTTCTACTTCTTAAAAGTAGAAATGTCTTCCAAAGAGCTGCTTTTTACTTTCTTACTTTGAGTACATGTCAGTCTGTACTTTTTTACTTTTACTTTTAAGTTTAATCAGTACTTCAACTTTTACTGGAGTAGTTTTTAATAGTAGTAGTAGTCCTTCTACTTAAACAAAAGTACAGACTTTGTGTACTTTGCTGACTTTTACAGTTGATTCAGTTCTGATTCACAAATTCAGTTTTGACTCAGTCAGAAATATTATAATGATGATTATTTATCCTGGATTTCACTGTTGAAAGAACCTCTAAACCTTGTAAATTAAAAATATTTAATTCCAAATTATTTGAGTCTTTCTCTGCAACTACAAACTCCGTGTAAACTACTTTGGTATAAAACAAAGCTGAGACTTCTTCACAGGTGTAAACATCAGGTTAATGATCCACACTTTGTGTTTACATGTTGTCATGATTACATGATTTCAGTCTGATTGGCTCATTCATAAATATTCTGTTCCAGCTGCTGGAGGACAACATCATCACTTTTGTTGAACGAGCTGAAGAAGATCCAGAAGGTTCTGAGTCCAGTTACCCAGAATGCTTAGAGAGTCAGAGGGAGGATGAGGAGGAGAGGAGCAGAGAAGCACTTGTGACAATCACAGTGAACTTCCTGAGGAGACTGAAGCAGGAGGAGCTGGCTGACCGTCTCTATTGCAGTAAGAGCATTTCTGTAAGCGTTTAAGCTGATTGATGACTACAACAGTCATTAAACAACCACTGTTGTCCTACTGGGAGACTTCAACGCTCATGTGGCCAATGACAGTGAGCCCTGGAGGGGGTGATTGGGAGGAACGGCCTCCTGGATCTGAATCCGAGTGGTGTTTTGTTTTTGGACTTCTGTGCAAATCACAGTTTGTCCTTAATGAACAGCATGTTTGAACATAAGGGTCCATAAGTGCACGTGGCACCAGGACACCACAGGATGCTGGACAGACCTGGCACAACTAAATGTGCGTGTGAACGCCTCACAGAGGCCCCGGTCTGCAAGATCTTCAACATACACCTCTGGCAGAGCTTCAACTGCAGTCTGAGGGAGACTGGTGCTCTACTTGCACTGTGTATAGTGCGGGTGGAGCACTGCTGACTTCGACAGAGAATATTGTCGGGCGGTGGAAGGAATACGAATACTTTGAGGACTTCCTTAATCCCACTGGCTTCCTCCTCCTGTAGAAGAAGCAGAGTCTGTGGATGAGGGGACGACTTACCTGTCTCTGAAGGCGAGGTCCCTGAGAGAGATAAACAACTCCTTGTTGGGTACACTGTAAACCGAATAAGTTCAGTGAACTCAACATTTATGAGGAAACTGATTACATAATAATTTTTAAGTTAACTTAGTTAAAAACTATCAGTTCACTGTAACTTAAAAAATATGACCTGAATAAAATCAAAGAATTGAACTACCTCCAACCTGTAACTTAGTATTTAAGTAACTTACAAAGTTTAATTTCACTAAACTTGTATATTTTATTTTATTTGAACTTTATTTCATTACTTTACTAACTTAAATATTCTAACTTATATAAACTCTAAATGGACCTACTAAACCGCACGCTAAGTCTAACCCTTCATAGACCGGGTCTTTCTGTAAAGAAAAAAAAAGCTGAGACAGATTTGCAATTTCAAGTGTATTTATAACCACCTGCACAAAACTGTACATGCTTCTGCATTTAAACATGTTTTTAGTGCTTATTGTACAACTTGTACAGTGAAAATTTTAAACAATATAGTGCTTCAGCCTTTTCTTTGGCTCTCTTTAAAAAATAATTCTGGAAACAACATTAAAAAAATGTATCAGCCTGATGCTGTTATAAAACTAATAAAAGGCATTTTTATAAACATTTAAACAAAATAAATAGTCTCAGTCTACTCTTTAGCTTTTCCCTTAAACTTCAACATAAATAGTATTTTTATAACAAATAATATAGTGCATCAGTTTTTCTCCAGTTGTTCCCTTTTAAAACTTTTAAAAATAGAATTTAGGAAACATTTAGAACAAAAAAAATATGTATGAGCATTTTCTTACACGTTTTCATTATAAGACTAAGTTAAATAGAATACACCCACCATATATATATAAAAAAAAGCTATCTAGAGGCATGTTTGTTTCAGTCTATGTCTCAATTCAATTCAATTCAATTCAATTTTATTTATATAGCGCCAAATCAC